TATTCTTAGGGCTCGAACCGGAGACATTTAATTCAAACGAGTGAATCATATTCAACCCGCCACATTCCGGAGTGGTAATAATTCTTATTACTTGCAATTATCACTAATTAAAAACCCAGATTATACACTATCTCTAACTACTATCTAGTCTACCACTATTATATTATGTGCAGGGCCAGATCTAAGCTAGAGTGACACATATGGGTTCACACTTCTGAGCAAAAGAACATATGTCGACACATGATCCTCAACATATTCGTTCTGCAGTGTTAATACCCTGTCGTCTAGGTGTCATGCCAAGTAAGCATCCACGTGGAATATTACACACTTCCACGTGTCATGCACACTTTTCCACTACCTAAAGTTATGGCTTTTGGCTCATTCAGGAAATTGTACCTGAAAACTTGTACTACCCTGCATTGCACTGGTTGAAATACAATTTGTGCCATTAGTACGATAGCAATTGAAGCCCGCAACTAGCCTCATTTTACATGCTTATCTCCAAGCTCGTAAAGTAAGTAAATTGAGTGTCGCACAATCACTTATTCATTGCCATACTCGTTCTGTCGGATCATTATACTAGAACGATTCAAAAATACTCTTAACATAATATGATATTGTCTGTTTTGGGTCAACCGTATCTAACACAATTTTTACAATTATTAAGAATTTTTTATATTTTATATAAAAGACTCTTATTCTTTTTAACTATTAATGTGAGACTTTTGTTCGCACGTCCAATGTGCTCCTGGTCTAGATATTAGCCTATAGAGCGTACTGTCTCTCCCTACTCTACGCCCACTCATGTTAAAGAACTTAAGCAAGAAAAAAATTAAATCCATAATAAATCCTAGAATCGAGTTACACAAGTGAAAAAGTATTAAAGAATGCTATGCTTGTACTGCACGAGTGAAAAGGTATTAAAAATACTATGCTTGTGTACTACATTTTAATATCTCCAAAAAGTTTTATCATATTCTTCCTCACTCCACTCATTATCTTAAAATTTTGCACTAGATGCTCTCATATCCTTTCATTTAATTCAAAGAAAGATCTCTGTTTTTATTCACAACTTAAGATTCTCTGTTTCCACAGGATGGAAAATAACCTTTTAACACTCCTCATAGATAATGCCATGTGTAAAGTAAATTCTTGATGTGGCAGCCCCAAAATATAACCAAGCTTATGGCTGTACACATTCTTCAGCTAACATAACACACTTTCTAACGTGCCAACCTCTGTCAAAATGAGTCTAGGGTTGGTTCTCTTAGCTTTATATAAGCAATTGGTTTCTTCATCTATTTTTCATATCCTATCAAAGAAATACATACAACATCCAATATCATATTTCAAGATTTCTATATATAGTAGTCCAATTGAAAAGGAAGATATATAATAATGTCTGGTATTTTCAAGATTATTGAGTTCGAGAAGAGAAGGTCGTGTTTAGATGGACATGATGATGGATATGATTATGCTCCAGCAACATGCATAGAAGGAGGTGATGACGATGATGATGGAGACTATGACTATGCTCCTGCTGCGTCCCTAGAAGGAGATGACGATGATGGAGACTATGATTATGCTCCAGCTGCATGAAAATGCTGATTAGACGTAGTGTGTTCGATCAAATTCACTATGTATAATTCAGACATGTGAAAGGAGGAAGAAATGAGGAAGGAGTAAGAACCTTGGCATATATAATTAATCCTAGTCTCTTTTATAAGTAGGAATATACAGATTTACATTAGTTGGACGTTGAAACCTTTTGCGGCTGAGGTCTACATCAAGGTGTTAGGGTTTCTGAGATTACTAGGTTTTTTTTTTTTTTTTTTTTTGGTCAACAAGATCACTAGCTTATTATATGTATCTTTTTTTAATTCAAATATTTGAACTATAACTTATGCAGAAATAGTGACATGAGTGGTCGGAGGACTTCATTTTTCAATCCTCAACTAGTATTTTCACCAGATAATTTTTTAACTCCTCTTATGGTAGAAGTAATGAACTAGTATTACTTGCTTTATTTACATGATGGACTCTTAGCATTAATTACTTGAGTGAATGTTGTTTTAAAAAAGGCAATGAACAACTCCCACATCGATGTAGAAGAATAATATTCATGGGTTTATAAGAAATTATGAGAAAACAATGCACGCCGAGCTCAGTGACGTGGGCTTGTAACTCAAGTGGGGGCATTAATGTGGTGGAATTCTGGGCTGTCCCAAAAGGTTGGATTTGGTGGGCTCAAATCTGGCCTGCCCTGTCCAAGCATAGAGTTGGGTCACGTGGCCCGGGTGGACCGCGTGAGGCTGGTTTCACAGAGCAACGAACAGCTCCCGTTCTGTGCAGTGGAAGGATAACGGGCCGGTGCTTTCCAAGTCCAGCAACGCCTAATGGGCTGCTCCAATTAAACCACCATTTTTTGTTCCATTTGGCGTAAATGACCAGTCTAAACAATGGTTTGGTTCGATTTGGTATTGGATAAAAAATCCGAACCAAACCGAGAAATAAATATATAATTTTTATATATACTTTTAAGACTTTATATTTAAATTTTTTTAAAATATATAAAAATATTTGGGATCCGCTCATGGTATGTAATATTAATAGAACTATGAAGTAATGCATTCACTTTTATTTACTTTGAATAATGAGTTGTATCATTTTCTTATCAAGTCTTATTGAAATGCGTCAATCATCTATCTCTTTGTTCTTCCATATTCATGTGTCAAAATTTCTTATATCTTTTTCGAATTTGAAATGATATTTTGATAATTTAAAATTAAATAGAACATGTCATTATTTAAGTATCATATTGATTTTTATATTTAATTATTAAATTCGATTAACCTTGAAATTGTACATTAACGAAAAATTATTGTTAGACGATTAAAAAAATAACTATCTTTGATCATGTGTTACTGAAAAAAATTCTCCCATTAAAATATTTTAATAGATCATATGTTTGTCAATTTTTTTGACTGTTACTAAACATATATTCACTTATCAAAACTTTATTTATAACTTTATAGTAAGATTGAAATAATATTCACTTAACAAAAAAATCCGAAAAAACTCGATGAAAACGAACCAATCCAAACTGATATTAGTTGGTTTGGTTTTAATAAAAACCTAACCATCCCGATCCATGTATATCCCTAAGTTTAAGAGACAAATGAGGCAGTGCAAGATCCCAAAAAAATAAAATAGAAAAGCCCTAGACTAAAATCTCCGTAATATAATTATTTAAGTTATCGAGATTATATGATTACGGAACCATATGATTACTAACGACTCTAACCACATGAGATGAGATGTTTAAAAAGGATCAAAATGAGCGAACCTTCAGTTTCGCTTAGTTGTGCATAAGACACTATAATAAAGTCATATTCTATCAAAGCTAGGATCTTTGTCCAACATAAATTTTGATTTTGATGTTGAAGAGGGACAACTAACAGCAAATATCACCGTCTATTATACACCAAACCTCTTAAACATAAATATAATTAGCAAATGCTAATTTAACTGCTGTTACAGATTTGGTAATGATCGACAGTTCGAAGGTTTTCTCTTTATTGCTATCAATGTTGTTTGTTAAAGTATTCAGGTGGATGAGAATGATGATAATCACCAGCCACCTCCAACCACCATCCCCACCACCTTCTTCAATCTCTAAACCTTCAACTCCAAGAAAACAATTTACTAACGAACACCCTTTACCTACTTTGATCCTCAACAAAATTCCTCTTATCTCTTCATTCATTGCCTACACAATATAGGCTGATCCAATTTTTGATTAATCTTGGGAGGAAAAAAGAGAAAAGAAAATGGATGGCATCTCAAGATTGTTGGTGCTGTCAATATTCTTTGTGATTTTGTTTGGTTTTCAAAGAGGGAATATGGGAACTATGGCCATTGATGAAGATGCAAAAGCGCTTTGTAGCGTTAATCTTGCAGAATTTCTTCCTCCTCCTTATGGTGGTCTTGAAAATATGGTTTGTCAACCTGTTTGGAACTCTTTCCTGCTACGTGTAAGTTCACTTTAACATTAATTATGCAAATCTCTAATATGCATTAATTAGCCTTTCAAGAATAGTCTTTAATACATAATCAAATTAAGTTGTTTAAAGTACCAATTGTACCTTCTAGTGAGTCCACACAAATCGTGTCAACCTCTGGAAGATTGTCCAATTAAAAGGCAAAATGAGAAGGTAAATATTAAGCTAGCCATAGAATTTGGGAGGGTTTTTTCTTCTTCAAATATCTGTTTGTTTATAAATTTTAACTATTTTTTGGTGGATTTTGAAAACAAAATCTTCAAATCCCAAAAACAGTTATAGAGTAGTTTTTGAAGTTTTTAGAGTTTTCTACTCACAAAACTTCAAATTCTTTTCAGGTAAAATACATGTCCAAACACAATTTCAACTTTCAAAAAGTATTTCATCTTATCTTCGAAAATTCATTTTTTCAATTTTCAACTAAATCTATGTTTAAACGCTAGCTAAGAGTTGCTAAACATATATAGTTGTCAATCTTTTAGAGACAGAACAAAGAGAAATGATGTCAAACAAATAAAAACAGAGGGAATATATGACAGGGTAAGTTCATGAAGTGTAGATCAATGTGCATCTATACCAAATTGGTTTTATCCTTCTGAATATATTGTTTCTCCTGGTAAAACTTTTCTACTGTCAAAGCTATGATCTCCCTATACAACTTGCCAACTTCAGTTGCTACAGTTTAATTTTCTAACAGCCTAAAGGACTGTTCTTTCNCTTTAGCATGATGATCAGAATCACATTTGTCTGTTGTTATGATCTACAGAGGAGTTTCATTGAATACCTCACTGATGAAACTTGATATCATCTAGATCAATAGCTTTCCCCTTAGCATTACGTCCTTGTGCTTCCAGCAGTACTCTATCATTAAGGCCAAGCTTACATTCAGGCATACCACTGCAAGAGAAGCAACATTATGTCATTAGACCAGTACCACTNAGGATGCCATACTTGTGTTAGTAATTGGTTTCACCCAATCTTTTTTTTACAAACAAATAGTCAATTCCGGTCATGAGCATATTGTAAAGCATAATCTATCTTGTAATTGGCGCAGTTGCCTTATCACTTCTTCATATGCTATAGTAGTTTTATTTCGATTGAAATGTCATCTTATATGTTTTAACATAAATAGAATCCATAGAATGAATACATTAATCATTGAAACTAATTCTACTAGTAGATATCAAAACGATCTACATGAAAACTAATACACGAAATCACTCTAAGTTAAAAATATGCTTAGAGACTCTTGAATCTCATTATTTCTTGAATACTTGTAATAGGTGCTGAAAGTCAGATGTATTTTCTCCCTATGCCTTTAGAGTTCAAAGGCTATTAGAGTTAAAGATTAGAAGTTTACTGAAAAAAGTATAAAGCCACCAAGATAGTCAGCTTCCAAGGAACAATGCTAGACCCTAACCATGACAAAAGAATGTAAATTTCCTAACGCATGCCACCAGAGTCCTACTTTCTTCAATTAGGTTGTATATATGGGGATAATTTTTTGTTAAATTTGGTCAAGCTCTTGATCTGGTCATAAGACCACTCTTACAGTTGATATGTGTTGATTATTGCTATTTTTTTCCAACTTTTCAGGTATGCAGCAATCTTAGGATCCTCTCCAGCTGATCGAATTCCACTGAATCCTGTAATCACTCACAAAGTGTACTTTTGCAAAATTTCAAGATATTGTTCTGCTTGAGGGTCCA